CTCCTAAACCCACATTTCATCCCAAAATACTTTCTGAGATCCGACTATGTTGAGGTCTGTGCTAGAAAGAACATGCAAGTCCTATGGGCAGACAAACATAGAAAAGATCGCCAGCAGCATGACCTATCCAACAAGATCCAACAAGGAGTCAATTCCTCAAAAAGTTAAACATAAAGTTACCATATGACCACACAATTCACCTCTTAGGTATGCACCCAAGAGAATTAAAAACATTATGTTCACACGTAAACTTGCACACGAATGTTCGTAACACCATTATTTATAATAGCCAAAAAGTGGAAACAACCCAATGCCCATCAACTGATGCATGGATACACAAAATTGTCCATACAATGGAATATTATTCTATCATAAAAGAATAATGAAGTACTGATACACACTACATATAACACGCAGGGATCTTGAAAAATTATGCTACGTGAAAGAAGCCAGACTCAAAATGCCACAAATGAAAGGTCTAGAGTAGGAAAATCCATAGAGACCAAAAGTAGATTAGGGTCTTCCTGGGTGGGGCTGGGGACAGAGGGGAGTGAGGAGTGACTGCTAATGCATACGGGGTTTCTTTAGAGGGCGATGGAAATGTTCTGGAATTAGGTGGTGGCGATGGTTACACAACCTCGTGAATGTGCTAAACACCACCGAATTAGATGCTCTACAAGGGTGAATGTCATGGTGTGCGAGCTATATCTCCATTAAAAAAAATAAATATTAAAAGTTAGGCCATTACAAAGAATAAATATGAGGAGGGGGCAAGCCCTTAGGGAGCAGCAGGTTCAGAAGCAACCTCGTGGGAAAGTCAGGTTTGAGTTGGATCCCCCCAAAAGAGAGGAAAGGTCAAAGGGAATAGCAAGGGGGCCTGCTTGGCTGGAACAGAGATGGCCGAGAGACGGGTGGCAGACGAGCTAGTCCCAGAGGAGGGAAAGCGAATAAGAGTGAGCTGTGGTCCTACTGCTGAGTGTAGGAGCTGAACAGGCTTCTCCCAGCAACCGCAGGGGGGCCTTTGCAGGAAGGCTGCAGGGAGCGGGAATGCATGCAAGTGCTACTTAGAGAAGTGAGTCTAGCTGCAGTTCAGAATGAGTGAATGAGGGAAGGGACCAACACAAAATTTGGGGAGCACCTGAGATATGCTCAGTCCTGTGGTGCAGGCTGCAGAGAACTTGAGGAAAGAGTAGCAGACATTTCCACCTGCTCTCGGGGGATACGAGAACAAAGTCTTGCATTTCTAGAGCAATGTATAGCTTTCCCGTTGATGAGCTCATCGATCTTCCAGAAATAATTCTTGAGCAGAGTATCTCCTCTTGCAGAGAGAGAAACTGAGGCTCAGAGAAGTTTAGTCGCTTGCTCGGGGCTCCTAAGTGGTGATTAGGAGAAGAAGTCAGATCTCGGACTCACAGTGTATCCCAGGCTGACCTATAGTGCTCTTGGGGAAACAAAGAATAAACACCAAAAGTAAATAACTATGCAAAAATATAGTGGAGTGCAAATACATGAGAGCCAAAGACAGGCCTTAAATTATTATGAGGAAACACATGACTTAGTGCTAGATTATACTTCTGTCCACCACACCAAGGGTCTGAAGTGCATTTTCTTTGGATCTTTCTGTTGCTTGGGCGGTTCAGGAGGGTTTTTTGGGCTTGGCCCATTGGTTCTTCCTTTTATTCCCGTTTTTTTGGGGGTTCAGGGCGGGGGGTTTCTTTGGGGCCGGGGTTTTGGGCCTGGCTTGGGCACCTTGTTGGGCCTTTTTTTTCTAAAAAAAAATTTTTTTTTTTTTTCGCGGTGTGTTGTGGCTCTCCTCTATTGTCCCGTGTCCGCTCTTTTTGCGGGCCCGCTGTGGGGGTCTCTTTTGTGCCGGGTTTTTCGGTTTTAGCGGTGCGCTCTGATTTTGTGCCTGTGCTCTAGCGTGTGGGCCAGAGTGTGAGTCTCTCTTTTAAAAAAAAAGGGAAGAAGAATTTGTGCACACGTTTTGAATCTGGTTATTACAGGTCTTGAACCTGGTTTGAACCAGTTTTGAACCTGGTTATTTGAGCTCTGGGCTCAAATCCCACCTCCACCATTTACCAAATGACCTTTGACTCCACTTCTCAGAGCTTCCGGCTCCTCACCTATCAAATGACGATGACACACCCAGCACACGTGAGATCTGCCACTGTGCAATTTCTGCACACAAAACCAAAACACGTAATACAGCACCCGGCCCACTGAGGTGGCTTTTCAACAAGGAAACAGGAGTTTTTTTTTAAAAGTTTACACAAGGGAGTTAGCATTTGTTAGGCACGAGCAATTTTCCAGTACCTTCCTATGCCCTTAACCCTCACAACAAAATAGATCGATCTTACTGCCCCCATTTTATAGATGAGGAAATTGAGGCCAATGGAAATTAACTTGCTCAAGCTCACACAGCTAATGTGAGGAATGACCATGAGTCAGGTTTTGATCTGGCTCCAAACTCATTACTTTTTACTCAGCCACACAGTTTATGGGGATGTCAGAATTCCATGTAAAACTATTGTCATCGAGGCGCAGGGTCTGACTTACAGGCTCAAATGAAAGTCTGCTTCTGAGCCACCGTGACCAGCTAATGAGCTAGCAGATTCCCCAGGGCTTCCTCCTTCCTCATCTCTCCCCTCCCACTGCTTTGAGGGATTTTTAGATCAAAGTGGCAGCCGCTTTCCTGGGGGATAATCCTGTCGCCTGTAACCTTGTTTTCTGAGTGACCTTCGTGAAGAAGGGTTCCAGCAAAAACTTTCTCCCTCAGCCCAGTCACACAGTTTTCTCGAAGCTTCCTAGGATGTCTTTCAGAGGCATTTCTGTGCCGAGAGCTTCCCAGAATAAATGAGCTCGAAAGTGTTAGGATTCGCCACTTCCACATCCTCATCTTGTTTTCTGCTCAGGTCCTTGCCTTCTTAAACGCCACCTCCCTTTCCCTTCCTGAGACTTGGCATCTTTTGACATTTGCCTCCTCCTGGGAGGAAGCCCATCTCTGCACTCGGGGTATTTTCTTCCTCCAGGTAAGACCTTAGAGGATTCTAAGACCTGCACCCAATCAGCAAGTAGAGAACTAGGCGACGGATACTTTAAATTACCCAAGGGAAGCAGAAGTCCAGAGGATCTGGAAGGATTAAAGATAACAAGACAAGACCTGAGAGATGACGGCAGAAATAATCAACAAGCACCGTGTTGGGGGGGGAGGGGCTGCCTCTCTGTGAAGTGTGGCTTCCTGGAGAAACCTTCCTGCTCCCTGCCATTTTTAGAGATCCTGTGACAAGCCCTGGGTCCCCTTCTCCCAGGGAAAGCTCTGTTTGCCTTTAGAAACATGGCCAGCTTCCTACTTCTTCCCTGTTTTGTCCAGGGGTTTGGAGGAGCCACTAAATGTCAAGGGCAAGAGGTACTTGAGGTTCAGTGTTTTTCGTGGTCCTTAAAGGCACGTGGACACCACCTTGACCTTCTTCATTTGCCAGTCTTCTTCAACAGCTAAATCTAAAGAATCATCTTTTCCAACACCCAAGACCCAATGTCCCCAACGCACACACAAATACACATACCTCTCCTGTCCCCAGCAGCTCCACTCAGGTCTACTGAATCAAAAACTGGATGTGGGGCCCAGCCATTGCCTAATCACCTAGAGAGCTTGTGAAAACACACATTCCTGCCCTCCTCCCCAGAGACCCGATACAGTCACTCTGCAGTGGGGCCAAGTACCCGTTTGTATCAAACTCCCAGATGGTGCTGCTGCTGCTGCTGCTCTAGTGAGTAGCGCTGGGGTGGGTGGCTTCCTGCCCACCTCTAGGGCACAAATATCTTCTGCATGCTAAGTGTTGAACCAGGCGCCCAGGAAAGGCCTCTGCAGGACAGAGCGGGAGGGAGGAGGTGTAGAAGGAAGGAAGAAGGGGAAGAAATTCTTATGCCGCTGGAGCAGAGCTCAGGTCCCCTTCTGAGAAGCAATGCCTGGGAAGAGACCTGCTCTATCCCAGCGAGCTTCATCAACGCTGTTCTCTCTTGTTACTTCTGTTTTCCTGTTTCTGGCCCATATTATTAATGGCAACCTGCTAATTAATGCCTTTTTATTGAGCTCTATGCATGGTTTCTCGTGGGCCTTGTAAGAATGAGGGTGTGAGACCTGGCACAACAGATTAAGAGAATGAAACCCCCTAAGACCCAAAGTCGGATCCCTGGGGCCACAGGGAAGATCTAGGGGCAGGACCCCCTGCCCCAGAATATTTTAAAGGGTTCCGTGCCTCCCTGTCCTAACGTTGAGTGTGTGTTCTCCACTTCTCAAACTTTAGCAGGACCCAGGATCACATGGGGGGCTTGATAAACACAGGTCTCTGCCCCCCAACCCAGGGAAGGCCTCTGATTCACTAGATCTGGGGAGAGGGCTGGCCAGGAATCTGCATTTTTAATAAGCTCCAGGTGATTGGGGGTACTGCTTGCCCAGGGACCCAACTCCAGAGCAACCATGCGAATATCTGAAGTAGAGTCTTTTTGACTAGCAGCCACCCAAGAACAAGTCCAGGAAAGGTAAGTTGCGCCCAGCCCCACACAAAGGTGCGGGGCAGCATCCGAACTTGCACTGTCTGTATCAGCTGCAGAAATGGGCACAATAATGACAGGATGGTACCTTTTATGAAACTCACTCTGGAATGTTCCATAATTCCTGGCTCCGAAAGTCACTCTAGCTCTACTATATCAGGAAGTTTATGCCTTACTGTGAACATCACATCAGGCATGGTTTTTGTTATAGTAATAGAATTTTCCCCATGTCATACCTTTTACCAGAAGGCGTGATGTGCAGTCTCCGAGAGAGCCGCACAGCAAGTGCATGTAGACTTGATTTGACCAAGTCTCATCCCACAGGACTCGCTGGGGTTGGGGAAGAGGTGCCACCGTGACTCACTGTGCCCTTTCTCTCTTCTCTCTTCTCCCCACCCCTCCCCCCATGTTACCCCGCTGTGTCCCCGCCCTGTGCTCCCCGACCCCAGTGCACTCCCAGAAACAGAACAGGCAGACCTGCGTGCGGAAGAGCCTCATCTGCGCCTTCGCCATGGCCTTCATCATAAGCGTCATGCTGATCGCGGCCAATCAGATCCTCCGGAGCGGGATGGAGTAGCGGCCGCCGGCCACCCACGCTGCCCCCATGCACGTGCGCGCCCGGGGCGGACTCCTCCTCCTGCACGCAGCGGACACAGACCTACGGGTGGATGCGGACGCGGGGACAGTTCAGGCAAGAACCCAAGCTTGAGCGCAGCTGGGGTTGCAAATCACCTTCATCTCCTTGGCAGGGACACAAAAGGGCTGTCTTCAATGCTTTAATGGTTTCGTTTCCTAATGCAATAAATAGCCAGGAGTTCCGAATTTTTGCTTCAACCACCAGTAGTAACTCTAAAAAAAAAAATCTTCATTTCATCTCGGAATTCCAGTGGCCATCCAAGTGTCATGGTGAGAGAGCGAGAGAGAGAGGCGTGAACACGCAGTCACCTCCACATCCCATTCTTTCAACCCAGGGGGCGACAGGAGACCCCCCCACTGAGGCCAACCCTCAGTCCCAAGAGGCTGACTTCCGGGTTGCCCCAGAAGAGGGTGGCTTTCCATCTCGCCCTGGCTTCCTTCCTCCACCCATTGGAGACCCCCCCAAGGCATGAGGGGAAAGCCATTAAGTGGGGTGCAGCCCCTGGCGGTTTGCAGCTGCACCCCCCATTGCTTCCGTTCTTACTGCCTTTTCTGCAGGACTCCGGTTGGTAGAGCTGGGGAGCTCTCAGTTTCCATGGCCCTCGGCTTTCTGTTCCTAGAGCCCATCCCGCACCAGCATTTTGGAATCTGCAGAGAGCCTTCCTCCCAGCTTTGCCGCCTGTGCTGCCATTAGAGAAAAAGAAGCGTAAACCGTGGGCATCTCTATAACATAGACACATAGACAGACGCATATACTCGGCTTCTTCATATGTGACGTCCTTCCCTAATCGCTTACCCCTGATATAAGCTTGTCTTCCCTCCCACACTCATCCCTGCTTCTCTGGGGCAGGGGTGAAGCAGGTTGGGCGAGAGGGAGATTGAGACTGGTGGTGAGGTGTTGACAGCCCACACCCAGCCATCTGGAGTCCCGGAGAGCCACCACCACTCCGTGCGGGACGACCTCTGTAAGTTAAGGTCCTCGTGCATCTTACCTTTCCTTGGTCTTGGAATTTGCTTTGTTAGTTAGCCTTCCCCAGCTAAAAGGAGAAACCCAATCCAAAGCGGAAAGATGGAAAGCTCCAACGACTGTGTTTCATGTAATGTCATCTGGCGTTCAGATTTTGCAACTGACTCATTTTCACAAGAAAGAGGAGGGAAAAGATATCAATGAGCTTAGCCAACAGGACAGGTAACTTACTCCTGCCTGCCGAAGACTTCCGCCGGGGAAGGGAACTGAACACCATTTCAAGTCTGTGATTTCCAGATCGTTCCTAGACGCCGTTTCAGCCACCACTATTAAGTCAAGCTTGCATAGTCAGATTAGCCAATAATCTCTAGACGTAATATTTCCCTTCGGACTCTTTTCCAAGCTCAGGTCTTTATTTCTGTAATGGAATGTCTTGCTCCTTTTTCTTTCGATTACGTCCTAAAGCTACATGTTTTTTCCCTTCTCCTTTCTGCCCTTTCTCCCAGCATAGAGACGCCAGGATATTTCCTGTCTCAGTGCAGGGGGTTGGCTTTCTGGCGCAGTGTGTGTTCTGATCTTCCGAAGCCCGTCTTCCCTCTCAGCTTTCCCCCTACTGCCTTCTCAGACTTGGAGCATCCAAGGTCTCCGATTAGGGTCTTCTTCTAATCCACCTCTGCAGGTGCCTCCAGCCACAGCCTGGGGGCAGCTGGAGAAACTTTCCCCCCATGGGAGAGTGTGAATATTTCTGATGAGCACAGGTAAAACTAGGGTTTGAGCCATAGTGTGGAGGAGGAAGCAGATATAAGCTCCCAAGAGCCCAGGGGACTGAGCGCCCCTCTGCACAACTTCCTGGAGTCCAGCCCATCCCCCCCTTACCTGCCCGGCCACCAGCCACCGTGCACACTGCATGCCCGCCCCTTCTGTCACTCCCCTTGGCTGACTCACCACGGGCCCATTGGGATCAGAATTCTAAACTAGAGCAGGTGCATGTAGAATACTAATATATCGGATGCCTTCATCCTCAGTTTCGGCCCAGGGCAGCTTGACCCCTCCCAGCTGGACATGCATGGGAGGCATAGTAGAACGTGCAGGGCCATGCTTCCCTATCTTTCACTGACCCCTATGCCACTAAACCATGTCCTCCTGGAAACAAGGGTACAGGACCCTAAGTAGACTGGGTAGAAATCCCAGGGATGATTCTCGAAGGAGCCCTGCCCCATGAGTGGGGAGTGTAGTACTGCAGCCAAGGCTGGCCTTCAGGGCAGAAAAATGGACTTATTCAAAACCTGCTTTTCTGCAAATTTTTCTGCCTCCTTCTGGAGAACAGAGACCCCGAAGGATGTGGGGGTTAGATTTCATTGGCAGAGAGATTAACCACTGTGCAGGGGTGGGGGTGAAAGGCATTATAGAGAGACACCAACAGTTTATATTCTACAAAGGTCAGCGGTCCTTCCCTAAAGATGACCCTTTCCCTTCTCACGGTGACCTGGAAGCAGTCCATCCTGCCCGGGAGAAAATCTAGAATAATGCATTCCTCTGGGTATTGCTGGGATGAGAGGGCAAGAAGGAAGCCACAGCATTCTTTTTGACAGCCTAGGAATTAAGCTCCTACCATGGTGATCTGCCACGTGGTACCCAGAGGCTGAAGGACACAGTGTGTGGAGACAGCACTGAACGAGTGACATCCATTAGACTTTGGGAGCTCAAAGTTTGTCCCTGTGACTTGCACCCTGGCTGCTTTGCTTGGACAGTCTGTCTTGGGTATATGGAAGGTTTCTTTGTCGGCCATCCAACTCTGCAGCCCTCCTCACACAAATCCTATGCCAGGGCCCCGTGCTAGCTAGAGTCCCCATCACAGTGGCTATGGTGCTCGTGACTGAAAGTTCCAGAAGGTCCAGGTCTCCCATGCCCAAGGAGTACCATGTGACTCCAGCCGGGGGAAGGGGGTGACTTTTCTAGGAACTGAGATGGAGGAGCCCAACCCTCACTCTGTTTTCCCAGGTGATAACAGACTTAGGAGCCAGCGACCTGGGCTGCCAGCCATGGGGTGGCTGAGTAATCAGCAAACTCAGCTTGGCTCAGTCTTGCTACAAGAGCAGGTGCCCCCGATGACACAAGCAATGATGAGGGAGACAGAGGCATTTTACTTGGGAGAGAAAGGGAAGTGGGCCCTGGCTCCCGTGACCCTCAAAGAAGCTGTCTCCCCCATTCCAGATGCAGACAGAGCCCCTGAACAGGACCCAGCGTCAGAACTATTAGCAGTGACTTCCAGAATGTGCGTGGGTCCCACGTGACCAATCTGTTAAAAAGAAAAAAAAAAAGATATTGCCATGGCAACCCATGCATTCCACCCTGAGTTTGCCAAGGCACACAAAAATAGGGAACATTTTCTTAAAGAACACTTCACTTCTGCCTGATTTCAACCTGACTCCCTGCATCCACATCCTGCTGGGAGGAGAAATTACCCCCAAAGAATCTGGGTGGTTTCTCTGCCTTTTTCTCTTGTGTTTGAACTTGTCCTTCTATTTACTCGGTACAACAGGAGCTACCCGTAAGCCCAGTGGTGTCCTTCCCAGCCCACCCTTAGCCCTACCTCCTAAGGCCCAGAGCAAGGACCCCTTAATCTAGGCAAATAGGCAGAAATGTCATCTGGAAGACAAACAGTAAATTTAAGCCTTCAGTCTTTAAAAGCATCTGTTTGCATGTTAAGAAGCTTCCCCACAAGCCAGAAATGTGAACTTCAGGGAACTGGGGTCTCCACGTGGTTTCAGGCAAGCCCAGTGGTTTCAGAAGTGTCCATGTATTTTATTTGTAGAGAACAAGGTGTGTAAAGAAAAAAAATTCTTCTTTCTTGATATCTGCTCCTGTCTCAGATGTCACATGACATCTTGTGCTTCTCCAAAGGAACCTATGAAAGATGGGCAGCGCATTTTGACAATAAAGCCCCTCCCAGCCTCCCATCCACAGAATCATAAGGTGATATATCTAAGAACTTGGAGAGAAAAATTTATCTTTTATTTCAAATGCCTCCTACGGGGCTTAAGTCCAGACTCAGGTCATAAATCAAAGAGAGATTTGCACGTTGCTCTTAACCTGTAGCTAGCAGCCTCCCTGGGACCCTAGGAGGGCACGGCCGGAAAATGAAGAGTGTGACCACCAAGGACAGCTCCCCGGGTTGGGCTGGCCTGGCCTCTCCCAGCTGCATGCCCTGGAACCCTGTTTCAGCTGAGCTTTTGTTCTCCGTCAAGGAAGCTGCTGAGCTCTACCCCTTCCTACTAGAGGTCTTCAGCCAGACTGGGTCATTACTGTGCCATTTCTCCAAAGGCTCACGACTCTTGATGTTCATCCTTTGCCAGGGAGGGTCTAGAAGATACAGATACAGGGAAGGGTCTAGAAGCCACCTGCAAGGAGGGACTGTGATGATGATGCAGATGAACTGAGATTAAGCTTCTAGACTCCGGCACATGCTGGTTGTATGAGCAGGAGTTCTGCAGAGCTGCGATCCCAGGAGAACATCTGCCTGAAACGACCTCAGATGAGAACATTCTTGCTGGCCTTTTCAGAGATCCCCATGGGGCTAAGAGTCCGTTACCTGAAGGCCTTGCCGCAGCCATCTTCCCTCACCACCTGATTACTCAAGTTCCCCAGAAGGGAAAGTTCTATCTGAAACAGAACAGAAGCATTATTCAGCAGCTAGGGTTTTCAATTTGAATTATTTAAAGCAATGGCAAAGCAAAGGAGGATTTGGGCTGCTGCTTACAGACCTGGTCTCCGTGACAATTTAAGTGTCAGAACTGTTCAGCTCACTTCATACTTGCTTTGACTGAGTCACTCAGGGGACTGTCCTCAGTTTTGTGGCCTTGCAGTAGACAGTTGGCTTGGAGGAATGAGGTCAAGTGCACCAACCAGCCAAGCATTTCTCTTAGTGTCCTACGCTCGTTGCTAATGCACATGGTCATTTTTGACAGCTACAGTTTCTACTTAATACTGGCTTGGGACCCTCTTCATACGGTCTCAAGGGACATGATAATAATGTTCAAGAAGTCGTCAAGGCAAAATTAATTTGATTCATTTGGCATGAAATCAGAATCAGGTGTTTCCAGTCCCACAAAGACTGTCCTTTGAAACTGGACAAAACTTGCCCAGTCCCCTTGCCCCTACCCTACCTTGGGCAGTGTGTCAGTTGAGCTGTGCCGGGCATGGTCTCACCCACCCCTTTCCCGGGGCATGCTGGGTTGGCTTGCAAACTAGTGCTTCTCACTGTTAGAAGTTACTGTCCAAGTGAAAAGGATGCAGAGGCTGGAATTTTCCAGTGCGTTCAAAGAGCAAGCTAACTAGGAAGGAATATTCCAGGGAATGCAAAACTCAACTGTGATGCTGCTCCATCCTTGGATCTGAGAAAGGGGAAAAAAAGGTTTTTAAAGGGCTGCAGATGCTACTGGTCTCTGAATGTCTTCCCTGGATAGCTGGCCTACTTTGGGAACATGCAGGGGATTGAGTGCCACGGGGCTGCCCATCAGCCTGGTCCGCATGACATGCTCTGCGCATTTCCTCGGAGGATGCTGACATCTGTCAAGCACAGAATGCCTCTCCCGGGGCTCGCAGACCTGTTGAACCGAGGCCAGGAGAGCAGAGCAGAGAACTTGAAGTCTGGTCAGATCTACCAGCTGGGAAGGGCACAGGCAGAAGGACTGTCCCACCCACCAGCCAGGTTCTGCTGAGTGGCTTCCCTCCCTGGCTCCAGGTTTCTCGTCTCTAAAGCCAGAGGAAAGGGAAACCAGAAGAACCGTCCCATTGTGACATTCCGTGTGAAATAAATCAGAGTGAATGTTCACTATCGAGAGGGCCCCGTTTCCCTCATGAATTGCATTAAGGACTGGCAGCTTTTTTGTTTGTTTGTTTTTTAAACACAGGTCCCAAGAGACTGTTGTGGTTAAAGTATCTCTTTTGGTGTCCAGTTGTCTGTAAGTGAAACGATGCCATTGGTCTATGTTGAATGTGTCACGCCTTGCAGGCAAAAGGTTTTGTTTATTCCCTAAGGACTTGCTGATTCAAGGGAGCCTCAAAATGGGCGTTGAGTCCTTGTCTCAGCCAGTGTGAAAATAAAGGGATTCAGTCACCTCGCCACGGGTCACGTGACTCAGAATTCCTGAGTAAAGCAGATGAAATGAAGAGCCAGATTCCAGGTGAAGATGTTTGTTTCTCCATCTGAGAAAGCCCATCCGAAAGCTACTGAAAAAAAGAGCACAATTTCCAGTCATTTCTTTCTTTCCTTTTTTCCTCTGGCCACTGCAACAGCAGTTCCAGAATATGTTGACAGTGGTTTGTAATTATTTGTATCACGAAGAAGGAAGAGAGTCATGATCTCTGGTGATTGTCAGGAATTAGATGAATAGTTCCGGGGACCGGCCACCTGCAGTCACCCTCAGATGGCGGATGAGTGATGCTGAGCACAGGTGTACGCCTTAGGTGTGACCCAAGCATGCAGAAGGCAGCAGGAGAGCAGCTGTAGGACCACAAAAATCTCCAGCCCTTCTGCCCCATGCCAACACAAAATCCTAGGCTCTTGGTTTTTTTTTTTTTTTCTCTTTTCCTAAAGTAGACTGATGTCTCAGCGATTGTTTTTATAGCAAGCCCTGTTGTTCTTTCTTGGAAAGACCTAGATTGGCCAAGAAAGGACCCTGTTGGCTCCTGTAGGAGACTGGCACTAGCCAGCATCTCTCAGCTTTCTCCAAGGAAAATTAAAGAATATTCTTTCTTTCTTACCTGAAAATCAGCTTTCAGGGGTCCTTGAATGGCTTCTTAGTGGGGCTTGGTTTTGTTCCCCAGTTCTGAATCCAGGAAGAAGCTATTTCTCCAAGGACTAACCAAAGGCAGTGCCCTTGGAGGGGAGTCAGACTGAGAAAGTCTGGCTGGGCAGTGGGTTGACAAACTGTCACCTGGTAGGAGGGTGTGGGAGTGTCACTTTGATCCTAGAGGTCATTAGACTTCAGATGTGCATGCATTGTTTCCCAAAGCACAGCAGGAAATGACTGGAATCCTTGCCCCTAATATGCCGGGTGTAAACAGAAGCACAGCTGAGGATTATTATGGCCAGGAGAGGGGAGTTGGGCAGCTCTCATACCCAGAATGGGCCACTAATACTGAAATCACGGATCACAACCTTCCCGATCACCACATTGACATTCCTTTTTTTTTTTTTCCAATTCAGTATTAGTTGATGATTTCTGCTATTACGTGATGCGAGAGAGTCAGCAGACTAGTCAAAAGGAAAAAAATATCTTTATATAAAATGTAAATATTAATATAAATTAACTTGGCATGCAACTTACTGATCAAATGAAGTATATATTATTAATATGTTATCTCAGTGTATAAAGGAAAACTGACTGCCATATTAACCAGATGTTTTCTTTAACCAAACTTGTCTGTAAATATATAATCTGTATAAAAAAGAGTCTAATTTACCATTATTTATGCAATAGAAAAAAAAATAAAAGTTCTCTCTCTTTTTTTTTTTTTTTTTTGCTTTTGACGAGAGCTTCCGTTCATTATCTGTGATTTGATTTGCAAATGGGTCATGAGATTCATTCCCGTGACCCCGAAGGGCAGCAGGTCTGTTTGGATGACAGCCCAGCATCAGCAGGGCATGGCAGGTACGAAAGCCACCAGGGGATGTGGCTGTGCGGTGGGACTTTGAAGAGAAATGAGATTGGCGTTGAGGGGAAATAAGCGGCCTGTGGAACATATGGTGAGAAAGATGAAACATCTTCTGGCTGAGGAGCAGACATTATAATTTAAAAAAACTTTGCAGACACCCAAGCTAATGGTGTTATCCTCTCAAGCGTCCTTTTGCCAAATTCTTCCCGACATGAGCATTACAGGCACTGCATAGCTTTCACTTAAGCTTCTGGAATTTTTAATGTTATTTGAGCTCCTCGAGAGTAGAAAAAGACACCCAGTCCCTCATATAAATAAGGAAACAAACAGCACCAAAAAGTTCAGTGACTTGGGTAAGGGCATTAGATGAGATCCTACCCGGATTTGGACTGAAACTTTGGCCTCCCGTCGCCAAGCCCCGCAGAGCATCTCTTGTATTTTCTTCACGTCTCAAAAATGTTATCACACATTTTTCCAAATGGGTTGTCCATAGCCCAAAATTGCCGTTTGCATTGGGTACGCTCTCCCAAAGTCTTTGAGGGTAACCTACTTTAAATGTGGTATTTTATATACCTTCTTAGGGATAACTTAGGAGGTAAAAGTCACTAAGCATTTGTTATTATTTAAAAATCCTAAAAATAGAGTGTTCTGGGCATAAAGCACACTTTTCTTTATGCTTTTCTCTCTGTTAAAGGGGGCCTCTGGCAAATTCCAGTGCATTAATGAATTACATTTTATCCTCTCCGATCTACAGTTTTAAGATTTTTTTTTATGATAACCCAGTACTTAATTATGAATATTCATTCTCCTGGGCTACTCACCCCAGGAGTTTGCTGCACAATAAGCCGCTCACCTGGGGACCGACAACAGAGCTCAATGTCCCTGATCCCTGACACACAGAGGTAGTGACAATGAAGCCTGAGGACTTCAGGCTTCTGGCCTTGGGCCAACATTGGCCCAAATTGGATAATATTCAAGGTAAAAATAAAATGCTCTCCCTTATGATGTGCACATACCTTTGAGTCATATTGGATTTTTTTCCCCATAATTTTGGAGATAGATGAATTTCAAAAGCTTTTCTTTCAGATTAATGTTTCTAGTTCAGCCACATGCACAATTAGAAAGTTGTGCCCATGAATTCTGCCAAATCTGGCAGGTCTACCCAGAGCAAGGAGCTTGGCTTTGAGTGACAGAGGATTGGGCGCCATGGACTTGAGGCCATGTCCCAGGTCTGTCTTGCACTCCCTGGTTTCACAGCCCAGGACATCTGGGCTTCAATCACTGGGCAGTGGCTGGGGCAGAGGAAACAGCTGGGCTCCAGACTCCCTGCTCCCCACCCCTAGGTCTGGCACTGCACACTTGGGGCCATGCCTCAGACCCCAAGTGTAGGTCAGTGTGCGGTCAGAAGGCTCTTGTGGCTTGGGTGGTCTCCAGCAATCAGTCCTGCAGCTGTGCTCGGACCTGGCTGCCTGCATGACAAGCACCCTGTTGTCATTTCTGAATTTCCTAGGACCAGGAAGAAAGACACAGGTGCTGATTACAGGGGAGCTCCAAGACGATGTGCTGAGACGATGAGCTGGCTCAGACCCTCTGTGAGGGTGGCTTGTGAGACCTCTGTTTCTTACTCCCTCCCCATCTTTCTTCTCTGCTCACAAAACAGCTCCAAGCTAGCTGAGCTTCAAAGGCCTCTCCCAGCCAGTGGGTCTCAACTCTGGTTGCACGTGGGAATTGCCCAGAGAACTTTACAGAAGATATCACTGTCTTGGCCCCTCCGCCAGATAGTCCACTGCTCTGGGGTGATCCCATTGCTCTGGGGTGATCCCTTTGCCCTGGGGTGACCCCGTTGCTCCAGAGGCAGCCTGGGTGTCAGGGATTTTAGAAGGTCATGAGGTGATTCTAACTGTAGACAAGGTCAAGAACTAGGGCAGTGAATTCCCACTCTTGCCCATTCAGGTGATTTCCAGGGAAGCAGGTCTGTCCTCTTAGCTAAATGGTTCTCAAAATGTGGTCCGTCAACTAGACCCTGAGGGCTTGTTAGACATGCACAGCCTTGGGCTGCACCGCAGTCTACGCAGTCAGAAACCCCGGAGATGGACACAGCAACGAGCACCCAGGTAATTGTGACTCACCCACAAGTTGGAGGACCGCTGTCTCCATAACTCTGTTTTACAGTGATAGACATAGGGATCAATACATAATTACGGTTATCAAAATCACCAGTTGCTTTGTAAATATACATATGCCTTGGGCTCCTCCCAGAATAACAGAACGTCAGAGGAAAGGCCAGCTGGTGGGGGTCTTCTGTCCCCCAGGAGCCATCAATAGGGAGTAGGAAGGTAGCTCAGCAGCCCGAGGAGGGAGGGCTGGGCTGTTTCCCTGGGGTAGGCCCCTCTGAAGTGCTCCTAGCTCCTGGGCCTCAGTAGGGACTTCCTGGAGGTGGTCCCCAGGTTGTCACCTGCAGTTGCAGCCTGTGTCCCTGACACACAGCAGCAGAAACCTCTGTGGGCTGCGGACAAAGCCAAGGCTGCCAGGCTGTCCCCAGGAAGGAAAGAGGTGGGAGGGAGGATTGCCCCTTTCCTCCTGCCTGCCTGCTGAGATGGGGCATCTCATCTCCTCTTGCCCGTGGACTGAGATTTATACCATCGGTTCCCCTGGTTCTCAGACCTGCAGACTCAGACTAGAATTTATACCAAAGCTTTCCTGCTTTGCAAGGTCTGGCTTGCAAGCAACCTATTATAGGACTTCTCAGCCTCCGAAATCTTATGAGCCAATTCTTCATAAGAAAATTCCTTTTATATAGATAACCATACATCTCTCCTATCAGTTCTGTTTCCCTGGAGAATTCTGACGACTACAGGATCAGGAGTAGAACTCCTGACTACTCCAGAACTCTGATTACTGTAGGAGTCTGCAGAATAAATGGCATTCCCCCGCCTTGTCCCTGAGATTAATCTAGGAGACAGGAGAGTAAAAACAGCACCAGGAAAGAGTAACTTGTGTGGTATGTGAATTATACCTCAATAAATTTGTTATAAAAAAAAGAGGAGCCTTGGAAAAAAGAGAAGCAGCCAGAGTCCCCAAGAGGTGGAGGGACGGGGCTGGCTAAGCCTCCCGTAGGAATGTGAGCCTCAGCTCGCAATCGGGGCAGCTGGCAGAGTCCCTGCTTCTCCCCGGGGGCCTTAGGCAGAAAGCCCTGCACCTCGGAGGGCAATGCCAGCCAGGCCTGGGCACAGCGCGTGCAGGAGGGCTCAGCCAGGGGCTCCTTCAGCCTCAGCTCTTCCCGACCTTCCAGAATGAGAAGACCCAGCCAGGCCTTTGTGCGTTTGAGCCTCTGTGGTCCCCATGGAAGAAGGCTTTCTTCTTGGTCAGTGTCCCTCCAGCTCCAGCCTCCAACCCCTCCACCGCCTTCCCCTCTGAGGGTGGAGTGTCCAGTCTAGAAAAGAGAACCTGGGGAGTGCGTGCGTGCGTGCGTGTGTGTGTGTGTGTGTGTGTGTGTGTGTGTGTGTGTGCCGGCGGGGGCGTGGGGGGTGGGACTGGAGGTGTCTGCAGTGCCAACACATAAGGGAGGAAATGGGGTCATGCTGTGTGGGGTGGGGACAGGCTGTGCCCATCTGTGACCCTGGATGAACAAATGACCTCAGCTGTGTGGCTAAAATAACCTTCCTTAGCCATACGACAGTTCGTACTGCTCATCATTGCGTTCCCAGCACCTAGCACTGTGCCCAGCATATAGTAGGTGCTCAATAAATATTTGCTAAATAAATAATTAAGCAAATGAAACAAATTGGCCTCCCAATTGCTCAGGTATTCAAATCGCTGGGTGGTGCAGGGCTCTTGTGCCTCCCTCCTCCTTCCACCCTCCTGGCCTTGGTTCTCATGCCTTTGTCAAAATCAGGTATGCCCCGTGTTTATATGTTTTTGTTAGCTTTTCTGGCCATCCAGGAATTCTTCGTCCTCCCTGATAAGCCAGTTGGGAGGCGATCTTCAGTAGCTTCCTGGTGCCATGGAGCTGCACTGTCCTCGGGCCGAGAGGCAAGTCCATCTCCCCGCTGAGAGCCGCAGCGTCAGTCCCTTTGGCTTGGTCCGAGGTCTCCACAGCGTCAACACGTCCCCCTCCTGGGCCGGGATGGGTGGGTTCTGCCAGATTCTATCCACAGCCCCCACTCCGCCCCCCGTGTTCCATCTGTAGGTTTCCGCCCTCACCTGCCGACTGCCAATGCCACCAAGCAGCAGCAGCCTTCCCCGTACAGCAGACACCTTAGAGGCTCGTTCAAGCCACTAGCTGGTGAATGCGGTACAGACAGGACACAGAGGGAGACATAAACAAGACACAGGCAGTTCACGGTTTCATAGAAAGAAGAGACGAGAAAACCTGCAATTACAGCCCAGGCTCAGGAGCCCTGTGGAAGGATTCATCACAGAAGATCACAGCGATACGAAAGAGAGAGCACTACTCATTTTGAAACACCTTCATTTTTAATTATGAACTATTTCAAGCACACATAAAATAGCAGACAGCAGTATACCGATCACCCAGATTTCACAGATGTGAATATTTTGACTGAGATGTCTCTCTTTTTCACACACACTTTCACTCTCTCTCTCTCTCATTCTCTCTCTTTCTGTATTTCCATCTCCGTCTCTATTTCTTTTTTTTAAGAAATAAAAACTTAGAGAAGCTGCTAATGCCCCACGATACTCTTTCTCTGTCCCCTCCGTCTCCCAATGTCACCGCCTTCCTGAGATTGATCCCACAGCCGTCAGAGTTCTCCAGGGAAACAGAACCGATAGGAGAGATGTATGGTCATCCATATAAAAGGAGTTTTATTATGAAGAATTGGCTCATAAGATTTCGGAGGCT